GCAGTAATAATTGTTTTAGGAAAGATTCATCAATGAATGCTAAAGTTAGTTTGTAAAAGAGAAGAAGGGATTTGCTAATGTCAAAATAATTCCCCCAGCGGGGCTGGGGATGTGGCTCAAGCGGTAGCGCACTCTCGCCTGGCATGCGTGCGGCCCGGGTTCGATCCTCAGCACCACATACAAACAAAGATGTTGTGTCCGCCGAAAACTAAAAAATAAATATTAAAATAATAATAATAATTCCCCCAAGACAGTTATTAATTACAAGAGGAAGATAAGATGCAAAGAAAGATAAATTTGTAATGGAGAAATCAGCAGGCACCTCCTTGGCCATGAGACCATCACCAACAATAAGACATAGAATCATGGACCCTGGATATGATGCACTGGGAAGGACACATGTCCGTCCTGGCCTGTCTTAACAAAAATGCTAATGTTCATTTCGGTCATAAAGAAACATCTGGCAAATAAAAAAACTGGTGGGCATTTTACAAAATAACTAGCAAACTTTAAGAATATTGAGACCAAGCAAACATAAGGTGGGATTCTGTATTGGGTCCTCAACTAAACAAAAGAGGGGAGAGTGATGGAATTCAACCTGTATCACAACAATTTACCATCCAGGTTTTGGTAATGGTATCATGGTTACTTAACATCTTAATGTTAAGATCTCTATTTGGGGAATAGCTGGGTAAAGATTAATAAGAATTCTCAGGTCTATTTTGCAACCTTTAAATAAGTTTAAACTTTTTTTCTTAAAAAAAAAAATCAAGTTTTAAAAGTCAACATTATTCCCAGCTTTCCAATGAAAAGCCTAGGTTGAGATGGTAAACCTAGTAACCATCTGGCCTACCCAAGTCATTGCCTAGGTATCAGAGGTGGTAATGGAAGATGTAGCTGGAAATAGAATCATTTGAAATCCTTGATTAATAGTACCTTGAGAATATAGGGTTTGGACTCAAGTCTCCACAACTGCATTAGTCCATAAATGTACATATTGGCCTTGTTTTCTCACTGGTGAGTTGTGGATTTGCCCTGGGATGACAGTACTCAGCAGTGAAGTCTCTCAAGGTCAGAAGACACGGAGCTACTATTAATGATATCAGAACAAATCCCAAGGGAAGTCACTTGGTTGGGGGAGAAATAGAGATAAGCAATAGCAGAACATTCAAGAGAGTCCACCCGTAGGGCTGACTCCCCTCTTTGGGAAAGTCCATCTGTTATGGTTTATATATGAGGTGTCCCCCAAAAGCTCATGGGTGAGACAATGCAAGAATGTTCAGAGGTTAACGATTAGATTATGAATTTTGTGATCTAATCAGTGGATTGAGCCATTAATATGGATTAACTGGGTGGTAACTATAGACAGGTAGGGCGTGGCTGGAGGTAGAGGATCACTTGGGATGTGCATTTAGGGTTTATATTTTGTCCTTGATGAGTAGAACCCCCTCTCTGCTTCCCAGTCTTTGTGTTCTGAGCTACTTACTTTCCTCTGTAATGCCCTTCTGTCATGATGTTCTACTTCATCTTGGGCCCAGAGATATGGAGTTGGCCGACCATGGACTGAACCTCTGAAACTGTGAGCCAAAATAAACTTTTCCTCCTCTGTATTGTTATTTTCATTTTTTTCTGTTTGTCACAGCAAAATAAAAACTGACTAACACACCATTTCCATATTTGTTTGAACACAATGAAAGCATGGAAATTGAATGGAAAAACTTTCATCTGTCCAATGTGGTTTTAACTCTTAAAAAATTAAATGCCAGAAGACATACTGTTGGGTTTGTTAAATAGTCAGTTCTCTCTCAAATTGGTTCCTGATAAATCCAATGATTTATCCAACTCAGTAAAAGTCTGATAGAATGATTCCAAGTCAATGATGACCTGCATCCCCTGACCCTGCCTCAGTGGTCCTATAGCCAATCCCCTCACACCCCAGCTATGACATCAACTGTCAGCATGTTTTGTGATCCACATATTTACACATCTTCCCCTCACTGACCAGCAATTCCTAGAGGGACCATGTTTTTGAGCACATGGCAGCTGTGTGCCCTTGTGCACACAGGCATGCCACCATGTTGCATTTAAATGCTGCCTCTGAAAATGAGGATGTCTTCGGGTCTTTTCTTTTCCCCTGAGAGTTACATTCTTTTCATTTTATAAATAGCTGGCTTCAAGTTAATGACATTTGTGGAGTCCTGGTGCACATTCCTCCACTCCTGGGCACATGGAAAGGGTACCTTTAAATAAAAAGGTAAATAAAATAAAATAATAAAGCCCATAAAATACACACTTTTCCCCCAATAGAGCATTGTTTGTATGTGGCATCTCTTCACTGCTGAAAGATTGGAACACAAAAGAAGTTGTAGGAAAAAAAGTATTTACAAGAGACAACATTTGGAAGTCCTGCTTTCCAAAGTTTTACATGTGTATGTGTGGAGGCAGGTAAGAAACAAAAACACAGGCCATGTACAGTCACATAAATGAGGATATACAATATACATGTCTGTACATTCTTTTGCATCCTTTTTTCTTACTTAGCATATAATGAGGATTTCCTGTTATTAAAACATTTTTGAGGATTTCCATGTTGAATTATGGAATTTACTTAAGAAGCCCCCATTGCTTCACATGCCAGTGGCCTCCCGATTTTCCTTATTCCTGTTGTCAATGACACTACTGGGAACATCAATGCCCAGGCACTCTGACCCCACTTCTTGGATTTGTCCATCCAAACTGGTTCCAAGAAGTTGGAGATTGACATATTCCTTAATTCTCTCCTGTTTTAACTCTCGGTAAGTATTATAAAGAATGGATTACTGTAATATATCCTAAGTACTAAAGTATCTGTATGTACTAGAATTAATTAATCCTCTATTGCTTGACAACTTTTTTTTAAATATTTGTTGATTGACCTTTATTTATTAATTTATATGTGGTGCTGAGACTTGAACCCAGTGCCTCATGCATGCCAGGCAAGGGCGCTACCGCTGAGCCATAACCCCAGCCCACTTGACAACTTTTTAATGAAGTATTTTTATTGTATTCTTATTTCAAAATAATCATGCTCATGACAGACATATCTAAAAGTACTGAATATCTACGCAGTATTAAAAATCATAATCTTAGACTGTGGAAATAGCACAGTTGGTAGAGTGCTAGGCTAACATGCACTATGCCCCAAGTTCAATTCCCAGCATGACATAAGTAAATATTTTAAAAATCATAATCTGAGTGTCATAAACACTATCAAGTGAAAAAACCAGTCCACACCTGAATGCCTACCACATGGTTCCCATTTTGAAAAACAGGCAAAATTATTAAAATGGTTAGGATGCATACTGAAGTGATACAACTATAAAGAAAAGCAAAGAAATGGTAAATGGATGGAGTTGTAGAACATCATGAAAGTGAAGAAAGCCAATCCCCAAAAACCAAAGGCTGAATGTTTTCACTGATAAGTGGATTCTGATCCCTAATGGGGATGGGAGGTGGAGCGTGGGAGTTCCATTGGAGGAACTTTAGATAGGGCAAAGGGGAGGCAGGAGAAGGGAGGGGGCGTGGGGGTAGGAATGAGATGGACATCATTGCCTTAAGTACATGTATAAAGACATGAATGGTGTGACTCTACTTTGTGCACACAGAGACATGAAAAATTGTGCTCTATATGTGTAATATGAATTGAAATATATTCTATTGTCATGTATAACAAATTAGAACAAATTAATTTTAAAAAAATAGAAGGAAGTGGTATATTACATAACTTTATCAGAGTGGTAGCTATATGGCTGTTTTCCAAGTGATAAGTCATTAAGGTATGCATTTAGATTTTGTGTGCTTTTCCATATATTTGCAATGCTTCACAACACCAATAGCTTTAAAAACCCCTCATAATCCTTGAAATCCTTTAAAAATTTCTCTTAGTAACAGCATATAGCCTTCCAGTGGTGTAATTCATGTCTATGATTATATTAAAACTACTATTTTGTAACATGCTGTTGGTGTATTGTGAGCATCTTCCTTTTGGTCACATAAAATGACTAGAATGGCTATAATCAAAAACTCTACAAATACCAAATATGGGAGAAGACATGAATAAACTGGAACCTTCATACATTGTTAGTGGGAGCATAATGGTGCAGCCAATACCTTAATCATTTCTAATGAAAAGTTACATACACAATTACATATGACCCGCCAATTCTACTCCTCAGCATCTACCCAAAAGAAATGAAAATATGTGCATAGTTTTATATATGCATGTTTACAGTAACATTAAGACAGGCAAAACATGGAACCCGTTTTTAGGGAATTCAATCTAAATTCAATTTAATCTAAATTCTAATTTAAATTCTAAAAATGACGAATGAGTGAACAAATTATGGTATGTCCATGCAAAGGAATACTACTGGATACTAAAAAGTGATACACTTACACATGCTATAGCAGGGTGAACCTTGAAAACACTGTGCTAAATGAAAAAAGCCAAGTACAAAATATTATAACTTGTATGATTCCACTGATTTTTTAAAATTTATTTTCAGATACTGATGGACCTTTATTTTATTCATTTGTTTATATGTAGTGCTGATTATCGAACCCAGTGCCTCACACATGCTAGACAAGCACTCTACCATTGAGCCACAACACCAGCCCCTCCACTGATAGGGTTTTTTTTTTTTTTTTTAGTTGAAGATGGACACAATACCTTTACTTTATTTGTTTATTTTTATGTGATGCTGGGAATCGAACTCAGTGCCTCACGCATGCTAGGCAAGCGTTGTACCACTGAGCCACAACCCCAGCCCTCCGAGAGTTTTAATGTTGGCACATAGCTCGATAGAGTGGCTGGAAGCATAAATGATTTAACTAATTGTTAGACATAAAGTAGTTTCCTGTTTTTCAGTATTACAAAGAATGCTGTACTGACCATATCTGTGAATAATGTTTTGGCCAGACTTGATTATGACTTTGAACCAATGCTCAGAAGTGGAACTGATTGGGGGTTTGTATATTTTAAAGCTCTGGGCAAATGTTGCCACATAGCCCTAAACAAAGTTTGCTCAACCTGCACTCCCAGCAGCTGATTGAGAGGGAAAATGCCTCCTTTCTTGAATATATTCCTTCTGTCTGAGTACTGTTCCCCCATAGGGGGCTATCCTAGCCAGAGGATCCTACACTCATGATGCCCTGTATTTGTTTGCAGTTGAACTATATATGCTGTTGCCATGGTCTGGCTCGTCAGTAGTGCCAATTGCCAAGTAGCGGGCTTTGCTATTGCCACTGTAGGATGGATCCTGTCTGGCATTTCCATGGGCCTCGTGGAGTGGCGAATGTGGTACATGAACCACCCCCTTCTCGCCTCCTCTTGTGTTACCTGTGTGGGAATGTGGAGAGTATGCATTTACAACCATGAAAGTAACACCAGCAAAACCAAAATGTGTTACCCATACACCTACCATGATGACTTCCTTCCTCCACCCAACATTTGTGTTGGTCAGCACCTCTTGCTGGCTGCCAACATCCTGGGGCTCTTGGGGAAAGCCTTTATCGTCCTTGCCCTGAGGAATGTGTACATGGGAATCCTTCAGAAGAACGTTACCTGCAATCCATTCGTTGCTTCAGGAATTCTGAACATCACTGCTAGCGGCTGTATCTTAATTGTTGTGCTCTGGAATTACTATTCCATCATAAGCATGGAGGGGATTGAATTCCCTTCATCTTTCCATGTGCCCTTCAAGCCAGATGTTCAGGAAGTTGGGAGTGCCCTTATAGTGGCAACACTAGCTGCCTTCCTGTTGTTGTTAAGTGGGATAATTTTCCTTTCTTACACTTTCCCCCTGGACATCCAAGTGCATCCTGAGGTTTGAAAAATGAATTTCCAAGTTGTGTGGACTTTGCAAATCCATTATTTCCAGAAGGTTATGGGAAGTATTATCTGAATGTTCTACAAAGCATTCCAAGGACTCAAGACCATGGGAAAAGTGATTCGGGACAGATAGAAGCCAACTGACTCCTTTCATTATCTTTTGCATCTGAATTTGGTTCATTGATTGGTTGTTTGGATTAGGAACTTTCATTAAAATAAATCTTGCCTACCTTCCAGTCTTATGGGTCTGGATTTTAGTTATTACAGCCTACTATAAACTTTGTGTATAGAAATAAGAGTGAGTATGTTGAAACTTCTCACATCTCACTCTGAAACTTCTAAAAACAAAAGTGGACCTTATTCCTTCTCTATTGTCATGATAAAAACATCTCTCTACCCTATAAAGTTTTCCAAAATGGACAAAAGTAGAGACATAATTAGTTTATAGGGAAGCTCTACACACCCATCACCAGACTGAACAGTTCTAAAGTTCTGCCATATTAGTTCTACTTTATTCCTCCTGAATATTTTAAAGTAAACCTCAGATATCATATCTTTCAATACAGTTCTCTTAAAAACTGACATTTCCTTACATTACTTAATGAGGGGAAAGCCTGATTCCTCTCGTAAACTTCCTAATCAAAATCCACCCATTCCTAATGATTCAGCTCTGGGCTGTCCCCATTGAATCAATTATCACATTGAGGATTCCAAGTGGTCACTTGCTAATGTGAACATTCTTGCCAGAGTTATTAGCTTGGAAGCTTTTGTAAAGAGTAAATGGCTCATCAAATACAGCCTTTGGGTTACTCTGAAATTCAGTGCATACAGAAGAAGCAAGGGAGGGCTGGGATGTAGCTCAGTAGTATAGTGCTGTCTAGCATGCCTGAGACCCTGGTTCCATCCCCAGTACTGGGGGAAGGCAAGAAAGACTTTCATGGGAAAAATAATTTTCTTCCTTTGCGATGTACATACATCATTTATCTATCAATGAACATTTGAATTGTGATCACTTTTCCATTACTGTGAATAATGCTATGATCATAACTGTGCATATATCCAAGAAACCTGCCTGGAAATTTTGAAGCACATGCCAGTAAGTTGGCTTGTTGGGTCACATGTTTAATCTAGATTTTTGAGGAATCACTGTCCAATTTTCACGTAGCTGCACCCATTTTGTATTACCACCAGCAATACACAGGAATCAAATTTCTCTACAACTTCACTGTACTTTTAAATTTTGGATAGAAGTATGGCACTGTAAAATGTCTCCATGCAAGCTGAGATAAAGAGATAAGGAGGTGAGTTTTTTTTTTTTCCTCCAATATGCTTCTATCACTATGGAGTACTTTCATTTTCACAGGACATTGAATGGACTGTTTTTATAATTGACATAGGGCTTATCTGTTTGTTGATACGCTTCATGAGAAAAAAAATCCTATTCCCCATGAATAGAGCCAAAATGTACTTTGTCTAACTGTGAGGGCTGTAGAGACTGCACTTCCACATAAATCTATGCAACTTATTGAATATACATGAGCATCTTATTCAACAACATTTTGCTCCATTCCCTCAACTCTAAAACAAAGAACATAATGTAAGGCTATCATATGAATACATGGGGATGTATTAATATTTGCAAGTGTTTGGGGCCTGTCCTATCCAAAGGATGGAGTGATTATGTAAAGACTATTGTGTTGTAGCCAGGAATTTGTTAGTGTTTGTTTAGAGTCCCAAATTCTATCTAACGACTCTTCTTTTCTTGTAGGTGGTTCATCTCTTTTGTGTAACTTTTCATTCTGGCTGGATATTCCCCTTCCCTGATTAACATTTCCTGCTTCTCCAAAGAACATCTGTTATCCAAACATCTTCCAAATGTGTGAATTCACCTACAAAACACATGGGTAAATTTTAAATAAGTTATACAAGCTTATTGAAATTTGGCCTTTGGTAAAAACATGTCCCACACCCTGTTGTCAGATATGGAAAGCAGGGCTGGGGATGTGGCTCAAGCGGTAGCGCACTCGCCTGGCATGCCTGCGGCCCGGGTTCGATCCTCAGCACCACATACAAAGATGTTGTGTCCGCCGAAAACTAAAATAAATAAATATTAAAAAAAAAAAAGATATGGAAAGCACCAAACCTTCCCCAAGCTAGCACATTTCCCTGGCAGCTATAACACTCTCCTTTCTGATTCCTTCCCTCCATCAAAGTTCACTGATCCTAGGTCCATTCCCTCAGGCCAGCATTCCAGGGATTAGCTCATGGACAGCAAACTAACCAAACTGGCAATTTGTTCTGCTGTAACTTCCCAAGTAGTTAAACTGTAGCTTTCATGTAATTAGAAGCATATTTCACAGAAGACTGTGGAAATGGGCATGTGTTACAGATGCAAGGCTTTGTAGTAATAAAGTAATTATTTGGAAGCCCCTAAAATCTTCTGTCTGTTCTGTGCCACATGTCCAGTGACTTTGGACATATCTCCATACTTTCTGTTAAACCACAAAGGGGGTGCTCTCAGGGTATTTTTTTTTATTATCACTAACACACCTGGAATTGATAAGAGATCCACATAGGTTATTCATGGAATAAATGTGACATAAATTTAGCGTCATAGAAGATATTTGCCTCTTGTAAAATATACCAGAGGGGGCTGGGGATGTGGCTCAAGCGGTAGCGCGCTCGCCTGGCATGCGTGCGGCCCGGGTTCCATCCTCAGCACCACATACAAAACAAAGATGTTGTGTCCGCCGATAACTAAAAAATAAATATTAAAATTCTCTCTCTCTCTCTCTCTCCTTAAAAAATAAATAAATAAAATATACCAGAACATTCCATTCTTTGAAGGTCTTCATGTCCTGAAATCTGCAGGCAAATATCTTCTATTCATACACTGCCAAAAATCAAAGCTAGGAAAATGTACTGGTCTAATGCAAATGTGCATCAAAGAGCACAACCAACTTCAAACTGAAATGGAGTTTGTAAGAACTGGGTTTCTCAATATGGGCACTATGATTTTTTTTTTTTTTTAAATGACAGGAGTGTGTGATGTGCACTGAGGACATTTGGCAGATCTACTAAAATGCATATAGCATTTTCCTCTTTCCTTGACTATAAAAGCCAAAAATGTCCAGGTACTTCCAAATAGCCTCTGAGGGGAAAAGTTGTTCCCTATTTAGAACCAATGACTCAGGCTAATGGAAGTTATGACATGCTGAGAGGATTTTTAGGCAAATTTCTGACCAAAATAAACTGTATAGTCCTGAGCTACCTTTAACTCAGGAGTCTATTTGAGATGATTTTGCTTTCTAGTCTAGGGGAAAACTTAGACAGGGTCAAAGTCAATGAAAATATAATCTTCAAAGTACCAAAGTCTTAATGGTAGAGGTTAGAAGCTGGATAGATTCAAATGAGGAGAGAATTGGGAAGCTTAGATTATATATTTGAAGAAATGGCCTGAAATAGAGCATGAAGGATAAATTGAAAACATGATATAAAACATTTAAGAGGAAAGGAAGATAGGGCAAGAATGCCCAATGAATGTGCCAACACATTTTGGTGCAATACAAAAAGATTGTGGAAAAGGAATAAGGTGAGGATGAAATTCTAGCAGAATTGATGAAAGACATGCATCCTCAGACAGAAAATACAGTAAAACTTCAGTATGCTACATCAAAATAGATTTACACCTAAACATATAATATGAAAATAAAAGAAAACTTCTTTGAGGAAAACAGAGAGAAAACAAAGTCACAAGATCTAAAATTAGATGATAGACCTATGACTTCTCAACAAAAGCAAAAAATAGCAAACTAATATCCCAATATCTTGAAAGACATTACTGATGAGCCAATAATTCTACATCTACTAACTGATCATTAAAGGATGAGAACAAGTAATTGCAGGTGAAACTCAGTGGTACAGCATATGCCTAACATGCAGAAGGTCCTGGGTTGATATTCAGCACCATAAAATAAAGAATGAATTAAAAAAAACGAAGAATGAGGACAAAATGGAGACACTTTTTCAGATAAATAACAAAATAGGGACTTTGAAAAAACCAACTGGGCCCAGGATGCAGTTGTATCCAGAGGCAATAATGAACAAAGAAATTGATAAGTCGGTGGGTAAATACAATGTACTGATCATAATTTTTTAATGCCTGTATCATGGATTTGCACAACAGTTGTGTAGGACAGGACTAAGAAGGGTTAAAGCTTTTTAATTCCTTGCTTACTCTGAGAAATTTGTTAACTTCAGATTTTTAAGTGAGGATTATGTTAACAAAGGATAATCCTGAGCTGGGCCCAGAGGTACCTGCCTGTATTCCTAGTGACTTTGGAGGCTAAGGCAGGAAGATCACAAATTTGAGGCCAACCTGAGCAATTTAGTGAGACAAAGTCTCAAAATTTAAGAAGAGGGGAAGCTGCAGGTGTTACTCAGTGGAAGAACACTTGCTTAGCATGTTGTGAGGCCCTGGGTTCCATCACCAGTACCTCAATGTGGAGAGGTAACCACTAAACAAAGAGAATGAAAAGAAATTAAAGGTGGAACAATCAAAAGGATGACATTAAACCAATTTTCAAATTTAATACTTAGAGGGCTGGGGATGTGGCTCAAGCGGTAGCGCGCTCGCCTGGCATGAGTGCGGCCCGGGTTCGATCCTCAGCACCACATACAAACAAAGATGTTGTGTCCGCCGAAAACTAAAAAATAAATATTAAAAAAAAAAATCTCTCTCTCTCACTCTCTCTCTCACTCTTTCTTTAAAAAAAAAATTTAATACTTAGAATATCTAAGAGAGGATGACATAGTCATACTTTCATTTGTAGGCATTTTCTAGAAAAGGCAAAGCCACAGACACCATAAAACCAAATTTCAAATTTAATGCATAGAATAGCTAAGAGAGGATGACATAGTCATACTTTCATTTGTAGGCATTTTCTAGAAAAGGCAAAGCTACAGACACCAAACAGCCTAGTGACTGACTAGTGGTGGTAGTGAAAACAGGAAGTGACTATGTAGGGCTGCTGGGGAGTATTTTAGGGAAATGAACATGTTCTGTTGCTGAGGCCTAGTCATAGTCCACAACTATATGATTTATTAAAACTCTTCAAAATATATGTCTATGTGTGTTAAATTTTATAATTTAATAATAAAATATATATATTAAAATACAATCCCCTGTACATCACCATTATGTTTGGGTGTGTGTGTATAATTTTTTTCCAGTGCTAGGGATTGAATTTAGGATCTCATCATGTTAGGTAAGTGCTTTAGCACAAACTAGATTTCCAGCTCCTGAAAACTTCTAAAAATATATGACTTTATAAAATGCATTTTCCAAAAAAAAAAAATTTAAAAAAAAAATAAATAAATAAAATGCATTTTCCATGATAAGAAGAACTATGATGATCCAGAGACTAGATTTTTAAAATGATATGCAAAAAATTAATAGGAAAAAATGTAATCTTATTTAAAGTCAAAAAAGAAGAATTAATCAATAGAAATGTAGACTGTGTACATGGATGAGATGGCCTTATGTTTTAAACCTGACCACTCACCTCCATCCATTTTATTTTCTACTAGAACCTCATAAGAGCTCTGTGGTCACTTAGGGACTATTAGTTACCGTGACAAACAGGGAAAAAGCAGCAACTTAACACAATATAGGTTTGTTTTTCACTTCTGTTATGAGGGCGCTTCCTGTTAAAGTCCTTCAACTTGTAGGCTCATGTCCTCAACAGGAGGATGGTAGGGTCTCTGCACTTACCTGCAATTGTCTGGAAGTAAAAGGGGTTTGGAATGCCATTAATGGGGGATTTTATAGCTGGCCTGGAAGTAGGTGCAGTATAGCTGCTCAGATAACAATGACTGATACTGGCCATATGACTGGAAATTTAGTTCAACTCTGTGTCCAGGAGAAAAGGAAGTAGGATAATAGGAAACACACAGTAGTGTCCAGTGCCATTTTTCTTGAAGCTTGATGAGCTAATCTTAACTCAATTGAAGGCTTGAAGAAAGGCCTGTGTATAAGCCAATTTGAAATAATGAGATACAAATATAATGAGAGGATTTTTATGATCAGATTATTTTTTAAAAAAAATTTTTAGTTGTAGGCAGACACAATACCTTTATTTCATTTATTTTTATGTGGTGCTGAGGATGGTACCCAATGCCTCACACTGGCCAGGCAAGCACTCTACAACTGAGTTACAGCCCCAGGCCTCAGATTATATTTTCTATGAAACTATCATTATTCAAATAGTTGGCATTATCGTAAGAATATATGAAGAGGTCAATACACTGAGGAGGCTAGAAATAGAGCAATCGATATATAACAGCTTGGCATATGACCCTTGTGGCACTGAAACATGGAGTAAAATAGGACTGTAGAATAGTGAGAACAGTTAGTTATCCATAAGGAAGAGATAAAATCAGATCCAGACCTTAAGCTATACAGAAAAATTAAAATGCCTCCCTTATGATAATTTAAAAATGAAATACATGCACTTACCTCTACAATGTCTAGGCAAAGGATGTTTCCTTAAATAACACACACACACACACACACACACACACACACACACACACTAAGGGAAAATTGCATACTTATGCCTATATTGACTGCTCCTATGGCCACTATTCAGACTAGTAGCCAGAATATTAAGACATTTTACAAATCAATAAAAAGAAACAAAGCTCAGTTGAAATATGGTCAGAGTATGTGAGCAGAGATAAAAATCTGAATGGCTAAGTATGTGAAAAGAAGCTAAACAACTCACATCAGTGGAATACTTCACAAATATACAGTGGCAGCATGTTTACCTATCATATGTGAGGCACTGAGTTTGATCTTTAGCACCACATAAAAGTAAACAAAGCTGTGCTGTCCATACATAACTACAATAAATAAATAAATAATAAAAAGAAGTAAAGGATTGTTAGAGGTATTGTCCTTTGTGCACTAGAAAGTTAGAGGGCTAGAAACATTTTTGTAGCTATTTCACTATAGCAATGATTGGTGGAGTTTCTTTTAGCACCCAAGAAGCCCATTGTCTAAAGTTACTGTTAAGCAGGCAGGATTGGAATTAGCAGTGCTGTGAAACATAGGAGTTGTCTTGTGGTGCTCAGAATGCCTCTCTTCCAGGGATCTATGTCCCTGAGATCAAGGTGTATAGGCTAAGGCGTAGAGCCTCTTCAGGTAAGGCATAACTGTAGCAACTAGGCATCCAGTACTTTTACATAGAAACATTCCCAGGCAGTCAGTGCACCATAGCCATGAAACAATCAGGGACCCCCAATCTCAGCCACCCCACTCCACAGTCACTTCCCCCAACATCACCACCTTTCAGCAATAAGTAGCCAGAATGAGCCAACATCCAAATACTCTAAAAGAATTTAAGACCCCAAAGTCCTTCAGGGGGCACTGAAAGAGAATGGTGAAGATGAGGTTAAGAGAATCATTCTATAAAACAGGTCTACTGTGCTGACCTCCACATGTTTTCTTTGCCAAAAAGCAATTTGCCTGCACCCCCATCTGGACCAAGTGGACTGCATATGTTACATTCCTTAGCAAATTAAGGCAGGGGGCAAAGATCTGATAGTGTAAGTAATCAATGATGGGGGTGGAAAGGATGATGTCTTGATACCAAAGAGAGAATAATGGGTTGCTAAAGGTTAATCTTTGCATCACTGCTCCTAGTCACATATATGGGGGAAGACAAAGATAAAGAGGATGCTTTTTGTGTGTATAACAAAGCAAGTCACACCTTCTCCCATGGGCTTTTGGCTCCAATGTCCCCTCTCTACCAGAGGAATCTGTCCTCTTTCATTTTTCTTAGAAAAAACTTTCTTCACACACTTGCCTTCACATCTTTTGGTGGTTTAATCTTCAATATGGGGAATCAAGAACCTATTCCCAAGTTTCAATGCACCAGTATCATATAGGTCCTTGCAACTCCACTTTTTTAATATATATTTTTAAAATTTTTAGTTGTAAATGGACATAATTCCTTTATTTTGTTCACTTAGTTTTATGTGGTGCTAGGGATTGCACCCAGTGCCTCACAGCAAATGCTCTACCACTGAGCCACAACCTCAGGTCTGCAACTCCACTTTGCTTCAGTGTTTCTCTAGGTGTCCACAGAGGGTGTTAGAATACCTTATCTCAGGTCAGGACTTTAGTCACTTCTAAAATTAATTCTGTAAGCCTTGACTAGTATGTTTTATTTTGAGGGTACATAATTGTTATGTTCTTATTATAATTGTACATAATTGTTTTGTTCTTAGTATAAATACAAATAGCAATTTTTATGTTTTATATAATAAATTTGGAACTCATATATAATAGTAAAATTACTATTATGGTACTTTGAAAATCAATAAAGCCCCCTTCTACACCAAGCTGCCACTTCTGAGTTATTCTATTTACTTTAAAAATAAACTCTAGAATAGAGTCAAGATGACAGATTGAGGAAGGCTGTATTCCTAGTTGCTTCACGTTTTAGGATTCAAACTCCAGGAGTACCTCTAATCTTAATGAGGTGAGTGAACAAGGGTTTTTATTAATATTCAATATTAAACGTTTAGAGTGTCAGAGATTCAGAAATTTCTGTAAACAAAGGAAAAGACTACATTGAAGCCGACTGTGTTGCAAAAGCAGCAGTGGTAGCAAAACTGGTTTATCACATAAGGAAGGAGAAAAGGGAGAGAAACAGATTTGATATAGAAAAACCTGAACTCAGAAACTTGAAGGTAATAAGCATTTTGATTATAAAGAACTTTTTTAACTTCCTTGCTATATAGTATTTAAATAAAGAGTCAGAAATTTGAATCTTCAGGCATGGCTACAGATGTTTTAATAGAGCCCACTTTTCATTAGACAGCTAACAGTTCTAAACGGGCTTTCTACTACATATCCACACCGTTGGGACGTATTAGCAAAGCACTGAGAAAGCCTGATACACTTGCAGATTTCAAAACTTAAAGTGGTTATCAGGTGATATTAAAAGAATTTAAAACATATCATGGGCATTTGTATTCAAGATAAATCACTATCAAAGAATGATCTTAACGTCTTAGGATACATAAGAGAAAGCACTGTTTTTGTGTGTATGATCATATTTAAAAAGTTAATTACCTGAAAAAAAAAAGTTAATTACCTGAACAAGCTATTCTATTACAATGTTTATAAGATTCCTATTTTTTTTCATAGTTTTAGATTAAACTGAATGGGAAAATGTTGCCTCTCGAAAGTTACTACCAGTTATTAAAAGTATACTATTTTCATGAAGAGACTTTTAGTATTTATTGTATAGAATTCAGAGTTAGTTAGATGTCTCTTAGAACTCAAAGTACTTAATATCACTAACAAGAAACTAGAGACTTCTACTGGATTGGGTTGCCGAGACTTCTACTGGATTGGGTTGCCTGCTGAGGCGAAGACTGGCTTCATTCTGGCTTCTTGATTTTTTTTTTTAGCAGATCTTCATTTTCTTAGGTCTTTACCTAAGTTTTAAAGACTTGTTCTTTTTATCTTTTTTTTTTTCCTCTTTTTGAGGAACATGAGCATGGATCCGGCTTTTCCGCAAAGTTTGCCTTGCTTGGAAGCATCTGATTCTAGGGTCTTTTCACCAATACCTGTGATTAATGGTCCCGAAGAAATTTATCCACCTGTTCAAATGTCATCTGCTGAGATGCCCCTCACAGAGACTGCAGTCTCTCCCTCTGCATCCTCCATGGACCTGCTTATTCAGGATAGCCCTGATTCTTCTACCAGTCCCAAAGTGAAACCATCCACTTCTGTACAGGAAAGCACAACAAAGAAGGAAGACAGTAAGATCCAGGTCAAGAAACAGAAGATGCGCACAGTGTTTTCTCAGACTCAGCTGTGTATACTAAATGACAGGTTTCAGAAACAAAAATATCTCAGCCTCCAGCAGATGCAAGAACTTTCTAGCAATCTGAACCTTAGCTACAAACAGGTTAAGACCTGGTTCCAAAACCAAAGAATGAAATGTAAGAGATGGCAGAAAAACAACTGGCCAAAGAATAGCAATAGTGTGACTCAGGGCTCACTACCCACTGAATATTCAGGCCCCTACTCTAATTATAACCAGGGGTACCAGGTTAATTCACCTGGAAACCTTCCACCATGGAGCAGTCAGACCTGGAACAACCCAACTTGGAGCAACCAGACCTGGAACAGCCAGTCTTGGAGCAGCCAGTCTTGGAATAGCTAGTCTTGGAGCAACCACTCCTGGAATACTCAGACCTGGTATACCCAATCCTGGAACAATCAGGCCTGGAACAATTCATTCTACAACTATGGAGAGGAATCTCTGCAGCCCTCTATGCAGTTCCAACAAAATTTTCCTGCCAGTGATTTGGAGACAACCTTGGCATTCACTGGTGAAAGCCATAGGTATTTTAGTACTCCACAATCCATGGATTTATTCCTAAATTACTCTCTTAACAGGCAGTCTGAAAATATGTAAGGATGGGTACATGATTCATTTTTGGTCTGGGCAGTGGCTAAATTCCTTCCTTGAAGGATTTTTTTTTTTAAAGAGAGAGAGAGAATTTTAATATTTATTATTATTTTTTTTTAAGTTTTCGGCGGACACAAAATCTTTGTTTGTATATGGTACTGAGGATCGAACCCGGGCCGCACACAAGCCAGGCGAGCGCGCTACCGCTTGAGCCACATCCCCAGCCCCTGAAGGATTTTTTTAATATTTATTTTTTAGTTTTAGGAGATACAATATCTTTATTTTATTTTTATGTGGTGCTGAGGACCAAACCCAGTGCCTCACACTTGCTAGGTGAGCACTCTACCACTTGAGCCACAACCACAGCCCGATTTTCTTTTCTTTTTTTTTTTTTTTTTAACTTTGGAGCTGTATACTTTTCTGCTTGATATCCTGGTTCTCATTGTGCTACTGTGCCAATTTGAGGATTTTGAGTCTGATTAGAGACTCATCAAAGACAAGTTTTTGTGTGTATATGGTTCTGGGGATCAAACTCAGGGCCTCATGCATGCTAGGAAAACATTCCACCACTGAGCCATATCCCAGCCCTCAAAGAGATTTTTTTTTTTTGTGTGTGTGTATATATATATATATATATATATATATATATATATATATATATATATATATTTGTTGATAGATCTTTATTTTATCTATTTATATGCAGCGCTGAGAACTGAACCCAGGCAAGGGCGCTAGCGCTGAGCCCCAGCCCCAGCCCCAGCCTAAAGAAGTTTTAATAGCCCTGCTTGCTACAGACAAGATGTCTCTGGCTACAGATAAGAACTATTACTAGTTTGGATATCTTTTTTTATTTTTAGATGTTGATGGACCTTTATTTTATTCATTCATTTATATGTGGTGCTGAGAATCGAACCCAGTGCCTCACACATGCTAGGCAAGCACTCTTCCACTGAGCCACAACCCCAGCCCCTAGTTTGGATGTCTTTAGGATATAGAATCTTCACCTTAAGAATAGGAAGTAAAAAGTACAAAGAAGTATAAGAAGGGTTAGTTCCACTTTCTGCTACTGGAAGATTTTACTTATTAAAAAGTCGGTTGTTGCTGGGCATGGTGGTGCACACTATAATCCCAGTGGCTCAGGAGGCTGAGCATGAAGACTCTGACTTCAAAGTTAGCCTCAGCAACTTATCAAGTCCCTAAGCAACTCAGACCGTGTCTTTAAATGAAGTATAAAAAGGGCTGGGGATAAGGTTTAGTGGTTGAGTTCCCCTGGGTGGTTCAATCCCTGGTACCAAAAATGGCAGTTGTTGAGGTGAAGAGTGAAGGGTTAAGCTACATAATGTGCTTCATTGATTTCCTCCACCTGTTTGGACTCTCATTTTACTCTAATGCCTAATTTGCTCATTAATATTTGTAGAAAGATACTTAAGATATTTTATACTTAGTCGCATTCTGATAAATCAGTACCCATTTGGCTAATTTAAGTACAAATGAATAAAAGATCTATTTTACCTTTAAAAAAAAAAAAAAAAAAAAAAAGAAACTAAACAACACTGCAGATTAAATGTCTTATTATTATTTTTTTCACACACAAATAAATATAGTTTCAAATAATAGAGATTTGAATATAAACCTCCAAGAGAGAACTTCTTTCATAGCATTTAATATATTTGATGAATAAGATTTATAGAAAGTATTATTATCACACATTTTTCATGTCTTTAACAAAAGAATATTTTATAACTGCTGTATAGTTTGTAACCACAGGTATAGCTGGTCTCAAATGTATATCCCAATTTAATTAGGCAAATGCATTTCTAGTCAATTTTTAAAATAGCATTCATTGAGAATGTAATGTTTAAAAACCTGAATGTGGGATTACAAGTTTAGAAGTAGAAATGTCTATTCTCTAGAGTTAAGGATAATAAGCATTTACTTAGTAAATACTTTATGCCAGGTATATTATATATATTATCACTTTATTTGACAACAATAATAAATTAGTTACAATTACTTTCAAAGATAAAAAATTAAACACAGAAAAGTTCACATAGTCAATGAACATTTTAACACCTCTGTCAATATTCTTTCCATATATCATACTATTTCAAATGAGTTTCCAAGAATAAAATGAGAATTTTGACTATGTGCTTTATCACTTAGATCATTCCCACATAAATGTACATCTTTGGTATTATGCACATTCCTAAAGGGAAAAGAAAAATAATTATGTTGACTCTTTCAGATTCATGTGGGTAAGATTTTTCTTTTTCTTTTTTGGTGGGGCGAGGCAGGTACCAGGGATTCATCTCAGGAGCACTCAACCACTGAGTTACATGCCTTGCCCTATTTTGTATTTTGCTAGAGACAGGGTCTCACTGAGTTGCTTAGTGCCTCGCTAAATTGCTGAGGATGGCTTTGAACTCACAATCCTCCTGCCTCAGCCTCCTGAGTCACTAAGTAGATTTAAATTATTCAAGGATATTTCAGTACATGTAAGCTGCATGAGATTAAAAATTTTCAGGTAAACACTTACCCCAAGCCATCTACTCCAAATTGCCCTTCATTTGACTGGACATGGAATTAGGAGCAGATGGAAATCAAACATTCCAATTTCTTATCTTCCAAATACTACACATGGATTAACAAATTCTAAAGTTGGGTGATTGTGTGTTGTACATCAATTCATTAGACTACTTTTTCTGTTGTGTGTATCCTTGAAATTCTTTAGCAAAAAAGTTAAAAATAAAATTACATGATTTATTTTGTTATATGAAATTCAGATCAACAAAAAAATTTGCTACCTAATGCAGGAGTTTTCTCAATGCTCTCATTTCTTTTCCCTGTTTAAAGAAATGTCATCTGTGGAAGCATTGACGTAAAATCATGTTTCTTGGGGTTGGGGTTGTGGCTCAGAAGTAGAGCACTTGCGCATGTATGAAGCACTGGGTTTAATCCTCAGCACCACATAAAAAAAAGAAAAAAAATGATATTGTGTCCATCTACAATGACAAAAAGTTAAAAAAAATAAAATTATGATTCTATGATTTTGAACTACTAATTCATTGCACAATGGACTATTCTCTACTACAAACAAAAACTCAATATTATTTAGCAAAAATCCTCATATAGCAAATAAATGTTAAAAGAAGTTCATATAGTCATTTTAGGAGTAACATTGTAAGTTTTTATAGAGGTACTTAAAGTGGCCAATTAATGCAGATGGACTTCATATAGGTATGTCTTTTTATTTTCTCTACTCAGAGAATTAAGATTTCAAATTAGAAAACTAAAACAGAAAAAGTAATTGATTTATAGTAGTACTGCCTTTCATTTAAAGGTAGTTTTATAGTTTTTCAGTTGCTAACAACATTTAAAATTTCATTAGTACTATAAATTGATTTTAATAATGTTCAAGATGCCTGTTTCTCCCCTTCCTCTTCCTCCTCAATACCCTGAATTCTGAATCCAGAACTTCACATATGTTTAAGCAAGTGCTTTTACATTGAGCTATCCCTTCCACACAGCAAAGAGTATTTTAAAAAGTAGTTTTTACTAGCTGCTCTGGTTCCTGTTTTTCAAGTTGCACTTGCTTTGCTAATCTCTCCATCTCTTGTGCTGATGTAACAGTAAGGCTGTAGCATTAAATGAAGTCATTACAGAAAAATAACATAAGACAAGTAAGAAATTCAATATGTAAAAACACTCATAACACTGTCATTCGATCGTATTTGACATCTACCTCTCTTAACTTTGAAATGCTGTTCTATCTACATGTGGCTTAGCTCATACAAATGTGGCCAAAATATAACAACTTTATGTGTTTAACTGTGTTTTATTTAGTTTCTCTAGGTTCAAGATTATACATGTTGAATTAGAATATTCACTACTTTTCTTTTTAAGTTATTCAAAGAAATTCTCAGGTATCTTGAAATAATATGAATAGACTTTTCAAAGATGGTCAGGTTTACTTACTATCTAAGAATTATCACCATTACTACTGTACTTCATTCCAATTCTATTTCTCTTATATCATTATACATTTCAGAAAATTCTTTTTTAAAAAGATCAAATTCTTTTACATTTGGTGAATATTAGGCTCCTTCTAAGAACCTTTTCCCCCTCTTTGCTTTCTGTACTTTCAAAAATATACATTTTACTTCACTGCCTCTTTCTACCATTATCTAAAAATATGTTTTGGTGGTCTCATGCTGGAATTTTCATACATAAATGGACATGATTTTGAATGTAGATGAATACATACACATATAAAAATATACATATATGTAATGAACACACAAACACACATATATGTATATATCCTATAAATATATATGGTAAATCATACAAGTATATTATTTACCTTTTCCTTACTCGCAATTCTATTGCCCAATACTGAGAGTCAAATGCTTAATTAAATAGCTTACTGTACATCATGTACAAGCACAAGAATGAGATCCTATTATATTAAATTATACTCCATGTATGTAATATATGTCAAAATACTCTATTGTCATATATATGTAAAGAGAATAAATAGCTAATATGTTAATTTGAATAATAGTCACTGAATTTTAATCTACATGAAATTACGCTGAACAATTAAAATTCACCTGTTTGGTAAAATTCAGCTGCCAGCAGGGTAGCAATCTGATCTAGAACTAGAAGTCCTCTGATACTTTCCTTAAGGGCTTAAAGTTGCTGCTCCTGGTTAAGTAGGTTCTTTTCTACAAAGTATTCTTTTTATTTATTTATTTTTTTGAGAGAGAGAGAGAGAGAGAATTTTTTTTAATATTTATTTTTTAGTTTTCAGCGGACACAACATCTTTGTTTGTATGTGGTGCTGAGGATCGAACTCGGGCCCCACACATGCCAGGTGAGCGCGCTACCGCTTGAGCCACATCCCCAGCCCCAACAAAGTATTCTTAGTCCACTAAATTTCAGAGACTTTCAGTAGTTACTTGCCATACACCAATTTAAAAAACTTTATATAGATTTGGTATTATCCAAGGAGACTGTGCTAGAGCAC